GAAACAAGAATATATAATTGGAACTACTTTTAGTCCTGTGAATGTCAAAAAAATGAGGATCACAAGATTATGTGCACTTTGAGGGTGTTATAAGGAGCGTAAATTTGTGATATTCGTACCTCTCCAAAGAAAGGTCAAACGACCGTAAGAAACAATATTTTATCCATAAGAAAACAACAGCAATCCTCATAATTAGTTGAACACATTTAATCTAAAACAAAAAAAAACTATCTTAGCTGCATGTACAAGTGAAAATAAAAGAAGGAGGGAAAAAAGGATTTATAAACAATGGCATAACAAATAAGCAAAGTGCTTTTTTACTTAACAAAGTGTCATTCTGGTACTTTGTTTTTTTAGCAAAATGCCAAACGAAGTACTTTTTTCAAATTTTCGCGTACCATCCGCACTTTGTCTATTAGGCTGGCACTTACTATTAAAAACACTGCATTACTTTCTAATAATGATTCATCCAACTGAAGAATATGAACATTTTGAGGAGAGCCAAGTCAAACAAACATCTCTTGACCATGTTTAGAATTACGACTGCCAAGAAGAATGATATTGTTATTGTATGATAACTCTTTCGCGAGCTTCTTCACAACTTCGAAGCCAATGCCCTTGTTGGCGACCGTAACAAGAATTACACGTTGTTGACTTGTTAATGACATGTTGAGAATACAGAATGATTGTGAAGAAGGGCAAAATGTCTTTCATCTTATAAAGTTCGAGATAAATTGCACGCATTTTCACCAACATTAATCAACAGCCATTAGGACTCATATTCACACGTGCTACATACAAGTGTGTACTGTTTGCTTTTGAATATCTAAATTAATATATACAATTGATTTCTATCACGATCTCAATCACTAGTAAATGAACATATCTGTGATAATCATTAAACTTCATTGAACTACATATAGAACTAGTAGCATTATTAAATAAAAGTAAAAGATAGATAAAAAACTTGACTTTGACGAATTTTCGAGTTACTAAAATGTATTCTATGAACAGAAAGCAACCATCCGGTGAAACGAATGATATTAGAGCTTCAAGCTTAAATGGAATAGGCTGACAAAATATATTTAAAACTTTCAAAGGGGCTCCGTAGCCATCAGATTCTTTTCAAGATACGCTTAGGTTGGATACAATAAAACAACAAGGAAAATATCAATGTTCGAAGAGAGAGAGTATTAGCAGACGCTGTACAAGGGTCACAAGATTGACGTGATGTGTGTAGAGTGTATAGGAGAATATTTCACAAGGATAATAAAAATTTAGTGAACCTGGCACGCTTTACTGGACAATGACGGCAAATTTTCAATTATTAGGGAAAAGCGCACATCGTCACTGCTTTCGTGGCTTCTGAGTTCACTGGAGTGTATAGTCAAGTAAAACTTAATTAATAGATAAAGACAAACATCAAGTTACAGGGTATGATATAAATCAGAAATCTAAGTCTTATTTAATAGAGAAATCAATGTCACTTGGAAAATTCAGAAGAATTAGAAATTATTTGGTTTTGTTACTGGATATACGCAACATTTTACTTAGATTTCACGAAATCTGGAAACATTTAGTGAAAAGTCAAGGTTTAGACTTGAATGTCAACTTTAGTCTCGAACTATTTGTCACATTGTTATCTATATTTGTTTCATAATACGGATTCGAAATTCACGAACTATAAAACAAGCTGTTTTCATGTTCTTTAATCTTTGAACTAATATTAATCGATTTTTATATATTATATAAAATTGATGTGTCAATATACCTTTGAGTAAAATTACGAAATCGGCGTTTCTGATTTTGATTTTGATTTAACAATTATTTTGTGTGATTCAATTTCATTTAGAATTATTGGAAACCAAAATTGCTTTTGTTAACAATTTTTTAAATACACTTGAAAAATAACACATAAAACTCATTATGATCAGATAATGACGAAATCTTTAATCATTCAAGGAATATAATTTAACCTTGAAAAATGAAGCAATGGTCTATGTCATACTGTTCTAATGAAAGCAATTATCCAGACAATGATGATTGTGTAAGCTTATAAAAAACGATTCTATGTAGGAAACATTCAATCGATTTGTGTTGCGAATTTATGCACCTGTTATAGTGGATATTCATCTAAAACTGAGCCTCATTGAGAAGCTTCTTCTTCAGTAGATTGAATATTGTTCAATAGGAGCCCTGGTTTCTGATAAAATTCTTAATTCTGCCAATTTTTTTCAGCTTCTTGGTGACAATGTTCTTGCGAAGTGAATCGGATTGTCAAGAGTCGACCTGGTGACAGGTTGTCTGTTTCAGAGGAGGCCGAATCCCAGTTACCATTTCTAGCATTCACAGAATGAAAGCACTTTCTGAAGAACTGTTAGTTCCTCTCATCCCTAAAAAAAAATCTACAATTCTGATCAGAAATGACAATTCAAAACATTAAAACCAAGATTTGTTCAATCTCGAAAATCAACAGAGCTGTTAGATTTAATTTTAATCTCAATTTCGAATTCGATGCCCTAAAATTTGCTGTTAATCTTGTTGATCCCTACTCACTACTCTTCACATCATGAAATGTTTGGTATCTCATTCTCAGATGACAGATGTCAGTACTGTTCAGATCAGTAATGAGAATAATACTTAGATGATTCTTAATTAAAGTATACTAGTCGTTGATAATATGAACACTATTTTCCTTAGTTGTAACATTCCATACGAATCAAGTCATAATCATTTCCACCTTAGTTGTTACTTAGGACTAATCCTAAAAATGAAAGTGCATAAGTGTGTTATCATAGTTATTCTCTTATATTTAGTAAGAAACAATTTTTTTCGTAACTTTCTCCTTTTTTACATAAAACTAGTTGAATAAAATGTCCAATAAAATAAAAATAATCGCCATTATTTATATCATCCAGCCTCTTTAAAGGATACTATCAGTTGTTTTACGTGTGTGAACTCCGTTTTTTTCCTTCATCGTCTATTCATGAACAGTTGATTCATTTATAGTTTTTTAGATTCTATAGTTGTAAAATCATGCAGGGCATTCGATGTGCCTGTCGACGAGCGGGTAGTGTAGCACAATTGATACTTGGTAAACAACGTAATACATTTGCTAATCCAAGATGGTCAAGACTTGCTTATCAGCAGACTGCTAATTTTCACAGTAGATTCAATTTTTAAACAAACAATTCTTTTTTTTCTAAGTTTTTTCTATCTAATAGTTGTTGGCAAACGTAATGCTGCAGCTCAAGCAGCACCACAAAAATCTACAGAAACTAAACAAACTCAAACTGGTCAACAAGCAGCTAAAGGTGCTAAAGGTCGTGTTGTATCTGTTATTGGTGCTGTTGTTGATGTACAATTTGATGAACAATTACCACCTATTCTTAATGCACTTCAAGTTGACGGTCGTCAACCAAAATTAATTCTTGAAGTCGCTCAACATTTAGGTATGAATAAGCCAAAAAAGAACTAAAGCAAACAAATTATCTTTCATTACATTTTTTTCTCTGAAAGGTGATAATACTGTTCGAACAATTGCTATGGATGGTACAGAAGGTCTTGTACGCGGACAACCAGTTACAGATATTGGTACACCAATTAAAATTCCAGTTGGTTCAGCAACATTAGGTCGCATTATAAATGTTATTGGTGATCCAATTGATGAACGTGGCCCAGTTAATGCTGAAGACTTTGCACCAATTCATGCTGATGCACCACCATTTACTGATATGAATGTTGAACAACAAATTCTTGAAACTGGTATTAAAGTTGTCGATTTATTAGCACCATATGCTAAAGGTGGTAAAATTGGTTTATTTGGTGGTGCTGGTGTAGGTAAAACTGTCTTGGTCATGGAATTAATTTATAACGTTGCCACATCCCATGGTGGTTATTCGGTATTTGCTGGTGTTGGTGAACGTACACGTGAAGGAAATGATTTATATCATGAAATGATAACAACTAAAGTTATTGATCTTAAAGGTAAAGGTTCGAAAGTATCACTTGTCTATGGACAAATGAATGAACCACCGGGTGCACGTGCTCGTGTTGCTTTAACTGGTTTAACTGTTGCTGAAAATTTCCGAGATAAAGAAGGAAAAGATGTACTTCTTTTTATTGATAATATCTTTCGTTTTACACAAGCTGGTTCAGAAGTAAAACCGATTTTTTTGATTATTAAAACTTATACGTATTTTTATTTTAGGTATCAGCTTTATTAGGTCGTATTCCATCTGCTGTCGGTTATCAACCAACTTTGGCAACTGATATGGGTACTATGCAAGAACGTATTACTACAACCAAAAAAGGTTCAATTACATCAGTACAGGTATATAAACAGACTTAAATAATTAATTCATTTTTTAGAAGAGATCTAACCATTTTATAGTAGATACTTTTGAAAAGTTCGATCAATGTCCACTATAGAGAGATTATACTGTAATTCTCTACAAAATAAGAAATCAATATTCAATGCATAAAAATAACCGATGAGCCAAAGCTTGTATGAAATTCATGCTTTATAAAAAAAAAAAAGAAAGCGCTCTAAATAGAATCCTGCGATACTTTCGAGATTCACGAAAAAATTTGTTAATATTTTCTAGAGGTAGAAGAGCGAAACTCATCGTGGCATGGGATCTCTGCTTTTTTTTAAATTTCCCATTATGCCAGAAAAAAAAATGATGTTTCAAAATCTGGAAGCCTAGTCCTGAAGAACTTTATTTATAGAATCTGTTTTATTATTAATGTTTTTTTCTTGATAATAATTTAGGCTATTTATGTACCAGCCGATGATTTAACAGATCCAGCTCCAGCTACAACATTCGCTCACTTGGATGCAACAACTGTCTTATCTCGTGGTATTGCTGAATTAGGTATTTATCCAGCTGTCGATCCATTAGATTCAACATCACGTATTCTTGATCCAAATATTGTCGGTGAAGAACATTATTCAGTTGCACGTAGTATTCAAAAAACACTTCAAGTAAGATTTTAGAAGAAAAATAATCAACTAAGTTTTCAATCGCACACGCTAGAGCTTGTATTATCTAATAAAAATAATTATACAAGTGTAGTCGATGTGCAAAAGAAAAAAACAACGATAAAATTTTCTTTCTTTCAATTTACGTTTTTTTTAATTTTTTATAATAAAAAAAGCAAAAGATTTTTATCGACAGTTGATTTTTAATTTTTTTATTATAGGATTATAAATCATTACAAGATATTATTGCCATTTTGGGTATGGATGAATTATCTGATGATGATAAATTAACTGTCGCTCGTGCTCGTAAAATTCAACGTTTTCTTTCACAACCCTTCCAAGTTCGTTTAAATTATTTATAAAAATCAGTTTTTTAATATTCTGTTTTAAAGGTCGCTGAAGTATTTACTGGTACACCAGGTAAATTAGTACCACTTAAAGAAACAATCAAAGGATTTAAGATGGTATTGAATGGTGAGATATTCATTTATTTAATGATTAAAAAAATTTATTTATTGTATTTCGTATAGGTGAATTAGATCATTTACCCGAAGGAGCTTTCTATATGGTCGGTGGTATTGAGGATGTTTCTGCTCGTGCTGAAAAACTTGCTGCAGAACGTTAGGAAAAATCAATTCTATGAACAATATTAAACCGACCAAGTGTTCTTAGTATATTTCTCTTTTTTTTCTTTTTTTTTTTGAATGTTTCTCTCTCTATGTGCTAACTATGTTACCCTATAGCCTATTATTAGAAGAGTAAAATATAAAAACATACTGTCCATGCTCTTTTTTTTTGTCTTTTATGTTGATACTTGGATATGAGAGAGAAAAAAAACACCACTATGATATTCCCGTTCGTTTTTTCTGTCTCAAATAAACAAAAAAATCAATTGTGCTATACGCGCACTAATTCAGTTGAGTTCCTTTTTGTTTTATTTTTGCTTATTCAATGATTAAATATCATAATTTAATGTAAATGAATACAAGAGTTTATTTTAATCCATTAACTCAACAAACTATTCAATTACCTAAAATAATTTGTGATATTATAGAATGTATTTTAAGCATATTGATATCGGATATTTCACTTGAGCAACTTTCAATACTTCGTTGTTGTTTACCAAATTTTCTTTATCAACTTTTTCAACAAAAATCGAATTTAGTTCCACAAAATATTATTGATTGGATTGTTCAAGGAATTCGAACATATAACAAATTCAAGTAAAAAATTATATTATTTTATAAAATAATTGTATTCGACATCGTTTTATGTGATGATTTATGATAACTTTAATTTAAATAAACAAAAAAAGAAAATTAAATTTTGAATCAGCCGATGAACAACTTGGTCACTAAAAATTAAATTAGTTCTAATGTTTAACTGCAACAATAACACTATCTGTTATTATGTCTAAATCGAACAATAATCTACTATCCATTTAAGAATATGGTGTGTTCCACTGGTTTTTGAATAACTTTTCATAGCAACATTATAGGCACCAGCGATTTTCTTCATTCAATAGAGAACAATCGAGATCATCGAAATCTAATTGGTGAACAATTAATCAGTCAGACAAATGCTTTGCTGGAGATTTTCAGAATAATGTTCTGAAGCTATTTCGAGTTATAAGATTTTTTCTGAGCCCTCTGATTTCAGACAACTTACCTGTAATCACTTGGAAAAACAGTTAGGTAGTGCTGATTTACCCTGTAACGAATGAGTCAATATTTCCGAAATTTTGAGAGAGCAGTGTCAGATTATTTTTTGAATCTGAAAGCAAATATCATTTCAACTTAGGATGGTAAAATTATTCTTGTCTAGCTACTTTTCCGAGTGATCGCAGGACAATTGGCTGAAATCAAGAGTGTCGTAGAAGTCTTTTAACTCTCGAACGGAACAAGCTAAAAATGTTGATCTTGCGTAGATCAAAAGGGAAATAGTTTAAGAATATCGTTTTCAAAAATCTTCAGCAAGCACTTCTTTGATTGGTTCATTATTGTTCAATGAATATTCAATGGTTCCTGAGACTTCCCTCTTGAATAATAAACACCCCAGGTCTCTATGATGCTTCTATCAAAATTTATTCAAAAAACAATGTAGGACATTATATTTTGAAATCGATAGTAGAATAGTTGATTCACTAATCAGTGCTCTTGTCATCATTCTTTTTAGTATCTTGTTTTTTTTGATTAATCAGTGAAGATTCTTTTTAATTTTGAACTTCTGGTCAGGTTGTTTTTAATAGAAAAGAAGAAAGATTTCTACTTGAGATTCAGGATGAAAAGAATCTTGTACAAAAAAGTTCTTGAGCTATAATGCGAAAATATTCGCTCAGTTTTCTGCCTGATTAAACTCAAAAACAGTTCGTTAAAATCGGAAGTTGTCGCTCATTCCGTATATATGTTCTAATTTTTCTTTTGATTCAAGATTGAACAGTTATCAATAAGTTTTGTGGAAAAGTCCAAAACTTTGTCTGTACAAAGAAAAATTATGGTTTTGACGCAATTATTAGTTATGGAACAGCTTCAACTCAACATTGTTGTAAAGTACTGAATTCTGTACAACCACTATTTTAGACCTATTCAAACAATCTGTTAGTGGTTGTTTAATCTCGCTCTGAAAGAAGACTCTGAAGACATATTCGGAAAGAACAAATAAGTCTAATTCTGTTTCCAACCAGTTGTCTTAAAGTGACCGAAAAATGAGTGAATATTTTGTGGTAAGGCTTTCGCATCATAGGTTATCTGAGCTTCAAGATAAATATATATACGCACATCCATACATTTGTATACAAATATCTGAACGTTAATTATTCGTTTTCACACAACGACAGTTAATATTTATTGTGTTCAATTTAATAAACAAGAATCGCTTAATTAATCAATAACAACTCAATCAAAACGAAGACCTTCAAAAATAATTGAACATTGTCAGTTGCAGATTATGAAGATGAAGACGATGAACTATGAAATACGTATTTTTAATGCCGAGAAATTGCTTTTCTTTTTTTTTTTCTCAACGATGAAATTGTTAGACTTATAGTGTGACTATAAAATAGTTGTTTTTATTTAACATTTTATGTGTTCTCTATCTCTTCTTCTTCTTCTTTTTTGCATTTCTCTTTTACTAGTTTGTATATTATACTGAAAGCTTGCGATAAATATAGAACATTAACAACTGCAGATATTCGTGTAAACATATAAAGATACCGCACCTAAATCACAAGGATCGAACAGGAATTTCAGGGGAAAAAGATTTAGATAAGAATTCAAGAATACAAGATACTTGCTTGAAGATACAATTCTTTCCTCAATAGCCAAGATTTGGTGTACATGAATATTGAGAGAAAGCTTTGGCTTATTTATTTAGACAAGAATCTTGACTGATAAATCAACAAAAATAAACAGCAGGAAAGAAGGAGACCTAGTGCGGGGCTAAAAAGTAGATAATCAACTTTTGTTTCTTATATGTCTATGTAAATCTCTTTCAACCAGCTCTTCGCTCATTCCTATAATGAATGTGTTACCGTTAACATACCGTTATAAACAAAGTAAGTTAACACTTAGGTATAATCGTTTTTTTCTTAAACCGTCTAAAAAAGTAAATTTTCTTTAAAAAATTGAGATAAATTCATAAATGACATAATTGTTTATTTGGCATGTCGTTTTTTTTTCAAAAATTTCCATTTTTTCTGCTTGAAAAATATCCTTTTTTTAGAAAAAGTGGAAAATCTTTTTCGCTTTTTCTCTGTTTATGATTTTTAACGACGCATTTCAGAATTTTCGAAGAAGCTTCATTATAATCAATGACTTCTTTTTTTGTTCGAAAGAAGTATGTTAAGATGCAGAACATGACATAATCCTTTTTTTTTTTAATCAATCTTTGTTAGTATTATTTAAAAGAGTACAACTTTGTCATGCCCTGAATCTTGACATTCTCTTTCAAACAAAAAGAAATTCCCCGTATAGAATAAACGCCAACAGAGAATTTGGAGTTGTTAACTAAGCTATTGTTGATCCTGTTTATCGAATATCTTTAGAAAATATCATGGTATATGACTGAAAATTTCATGCAAATGAAATGTATCTGGACCATCATCAATCTTTGAGGGTAGAAGGGAAAAGCCTTGATAAAGGTTTTTTACAGTGTGTTTTTCTAAAAATTTATATTTTTTCATATCAATAGAAATGGACACATTAATGAAAAACAAGATATGTAACGTCTCATTATGAATTCTATAATCAGTATAAAATAAATGATATATCTATCAATCGATCAGTTATATAAATGTTCACAGATACAGATATGTAATAAATGTTCATTATATAAAGCGGCATTAACTCGACAGATATCGATTATTAACCATACTCTATTTAGTTTTGCCGATATGTGTAGATATATAGAAAGGATATGAATATTCAATTTATACACATTTCATTATCAGATATGATGATAATTTTTAATCTTCTTCTTCTGTTATTATTGTCGATGATAATTTAAAACAGAATATCACAGAAGAACATTCATTATACATTGTTACTGTTTACTTGTTTGTACAAATTATGATAACATAGAATAAAGCTTTCCTCTTATTGTTATTCTATTTTTGTCCTTCATCACCATGCATTCAATACACATATATACTCATTAAACATTCTTTCGTATTAATTTGATTATTGTGAACTACGTAGTTTAGTCTAGTCTAATACATTTACGTCTACTCTTGACAAATGTAAGATGAATATTAAGAGAGTACATATATTAAGTTGAATAAAAGAATGAAACATTGAGATTTATATTAATTTTTTTTGTCAATTGATCAATAAGAATCAATATTCATAGGAAAAAAATATTTTCATACATTTTTTAACATGTAAGTATAAAATAACCTCAACTAAAATCATATTGACAATATGAGTCTGATTGATCGACTGAATATTGTATGTTTATTTAAATAGTAATCAGAATCAATGTTAAATAATGTATTGTTTGTTTGTTGTTCAATGAGATAATAGACGAGTCGAGTCATTATCATTATCATCGTTGCATTAGTAATCGAGTCAACATTCTTCATCGCTGAACAGATAATTGAATATGTCTGAGATAGAAGCGTCGACACATCAGTTACTTTTCTTTTTCTATATCATATAACTATATTGCCCATCAATTTGATACTTAAACAAAGCTAAACATTATTTCTTTTTTTCTTTTTCTGCAGTAATATTTATCACAATAGTCTTCATCATATATGAAAATTCTATTTGAATTTTTTGTTGTGATAACATTCATTAAATTCTTTAAATTATTTCTTTTTTTATGTGTTCGATTATTGAAATCGATCTTTGAGGTGAGATGATCCATAAAAATGAATTTGTTTAAATCTAATTAAATCTATTATTATTATATAATTAGAGTTCAAGTTCTATGAAAAACTGAACATTTTGACTTTGTCAATGTTTATCATCAAACTTCTTCTAGTTTCTATGTTTAGATCTTCAATGATGAATAAAAAAAGACTAATTTTATTTGTTTTATCATTATTAATTATGAATATTAGTGGTATATCATCAAATTCTTATTACTTAATTGATATTGATAGAAATTTATCATTAAATAATAGTTATTGTTCAAATATATTAATTAATAAAAATTTATATCGTATTCCTAATCAATGTCATAAACATGTTTTATGTGATCGATATCATTGTGATGATAAATCATTTCGTTGTATTAAAATTCGTGAAACATTATGTTGTTTATATAAATATATTCAAAATTTTTGTCAAAAAGAAAATTTAAAAGATCAATTTCGTTTAATTTATTTTTATATATCAATTCAACATGGATATTGTGAAATAAATTTAGAACGAATTGAACAAAATGATCAATCATATTGTATTTCAAATTATGTTGAAATAACAACAACAATATCTTCATCTCATTTATCTTATAAATATTTTCATCGTTATTATCCTCGTTTAACTACACAATTATCAAATATTAATTATTTACGATATGATACAACAACTATTTCATCAAAATCTTCGTTTATTTATATAAATTTTATCATTTTACTATTATCAATATTGTTATAGATAGATAAATACGATTCTTTTTTTTTTTTCTAAATATTGTTTATCAAGTTGATCAAATTTTCGATAAGATAATACGAACAACGGCAGTATCGACTTACATATTCTTATTTCTTTGTCCTTTCATCGTCGTTCTCTTACTTGAAGAAAATGTGTGACCTCATGTTCTTTTTCTTTTTTTTCACTAGCTGCATGTTTGTCGAGACGAAAGGGGTATAAAAACAGCATGATAAACGTTATTGCGAATATAACATAAATCAGAAAAACATCAGTCTGTTTTTTATTATATTATAGATAAAAAAAATAATGTTAAGCAATATATTAAAGAGAGGATTATTATCAACTAATCCTTTAGCATCTATATCACGTTATGCATCAACAAGTGGTCAACACACAGTTTTAGTTGTACTTTATGAAGGTTTTATTTGAAATCGATTTCGTTTTTTTTTTGTTTGATCATGTTTTTTCTTTTTTTTTTTGTATTTTAAAAGGAGGTGAAGCTGGTAAAAAAAATAAAAATATCTTAGGATGTGTGGAAAACGCACTTGGTTTACGTGAATGGATTAAACAAAATAAACTTGAAGATCGTATTAAACTTGTTGTAACATCGGATAAACAAGGTGAAAATTGTATGGCTGAAAAAACTTTACCTGAAGCAAGTGTCGTTATATCACAACCATTTTGGCCATGTTATCTTGATCAAGCACGTATTGATAAAGCAAAAAAATTACAATTAGCAATTACAGCTGGTGTTGGTTCTGATCATGTTAATTTAGAAGCAGCTTGTAAACGAGGTAGATTTTTATTATTACAAAAACAAATTATTATATTTAATTAATTAATTCTTATTTTTTTTTTCTAATAGGAATTACTATTGGTATGCGAATCGATGAATTTTAGATAAAAGTTATTTATTGTGTTTTTTTTTGTTTAGCTGAAATAACTGGTTCAAATGTTGTTAGTGTTGCTGAACATGTTGTTATGCAAATATTAGCACTTGTGCGAAATTTTATTCCAGCTTATAAAGTAAATTATTTAATGACATTTAAATACATAAGAAAGTTTTCAGAAAAAGTGTAGATTATTTGATAAACACTGAAAAAATTCTTGATATGAATTATTCTTTAAGGTATAAAATTATTTGACCTTTTGAACTTTCTATACATTGTAGTATCTTAACAAACTACATGTGGTGGGATGTCCTTTTTTGAACAAATCTTTCGTTGTGATTGATATATCCATTACTATTCTCCCTCTTTTATTGCACACTAATAATACTTAATTAATACGACAGTAAGGTGTCGAAAATATGACATTAAGCAGAAGGCTTTTCTTTTCTTTTTTTATACGGTTAGATAGAACATCACAAGCTGATTAAGAATGTTTGTTGTCAAATTCCAAAATTGTTTGTTTCACAATTACCATGAAAATATGCATCTGAAAAAGTTATTTATAAATCCATTTTCTAGATTCAGGTTGGAAATTTCAAAGAAATAAAATTGGTCACTTATCGAAACTTGACCTATTTTTCAAAAGAAAGTAACTCATCTTAAAAATTGAAACTTTTTCCCTAAAAAAATTTAAAAAAAAATGCAAAATGATAAAGAAAAATATACCACATAAAATATCAACTATACTATATGTAGAATAAACTGTTTCATTCTCTGATTGAGAAAAATTTTCTAATTCTGAAGACTGAATAATTTAGGATAAATCTGCATATTTCTAATGAACATTAAATTAAATTGACTATTAAATTCATTAATAAAAGTCGAAGTCATTTCAGCATGTTTTTACAGTGATTATCCAATAAAAAAAAAACGTAATTCTATTTTGATCATAAAAAGAAAATCTCACAATGATTGTTTTTATCAAATAATGTTCATTAGATTGAAATTTTTCAAGAAAACGAACTGAATAAAACATATTATTAATATTACTTCGATATTGTTTCTTGTTTAACTCGATATTTCAAGTTTATCTAATTGACAAAAACTAAATTAAATGCGAAAATCTTTAAAATATTTTTAGCAAGTTGTCAATGGTGAATGGGATATTGCAGCAATAGCTGATAAAGCATATGATTTAGAAAATAAACATGTTGGTACAGTTGCTGCCGGTCGTATTGGTTTTCGTGTTTTACAACGTCTTAAACCATTTAATGTTCATTTACATTATTATGATAAATTTCGTTTGGATAAATCCATTGAAAAAGAACTTAATGTAACATATCATCCAAATGTTGAATCATTAGTTAAAGTATGTGATGTTGTTACAATAAATTGTCCATTACATCCTGAAACTGAACATATGTTTAATAAAAAAATGATATCATTAATGAAAAAAGGTAGTTATATTGTTAATACAGCGCGTGGAAAAATTGTAGATCGTGATGCTTTGGTTGATGCTGTTAAATCAAATCATATTCAAGGTTATGCTGGAGATGTTTGGTATCCACAAGTAAGATTAACAAAACAAATTAAATATAGGATCCTGTTGGATTTAATCACCTATCTTGAGTTATCCTACCATCTATATGATTTTCTAGAACATTATCCAACGTATCAAATCTTATATAAGAATGACATTGAGTTGACCACAAGAAAATACTTATGTTGTCAAGAAATAGCCTAGAATCTAAGAAAATTTATTCTTTTAAAGCAACAATCAAAACTATTTATTATAGATAATTAAAGCGTACCTACAACGGTATCGAATTTGAGTTTTAAAAAAAAAAATTTATAAATTTATCTTAGAACATCTTCGAGAGTACAATGTCAATAAGTGCGATATATATTTCACAAGGATTATAAACAATAAATATATGAACTTTAACAACATGAAAAACATTATTTCTTATATACGATTCGATACGTTGGAGATCGCTCTAGAAAAACACATATATATTTTATTTTGACTGAAGATAGGTAACTAAATTCGTCGAGATTCTTTAAAGATTTTGTTATTATTTGTTAATAGCCAGCAGCAAAAGATCATCCATGGCGTTCAATGCCCCGACATGCAATGACACCACATTATTCAGGTACAACACTTGATGCGCAAGCGCGTTATGCTGCTGGTGTTAGAGAAGTTCTTGGAAATTGGCTTAATGGAAAATCACAACGTGAAGAATATTTAATTGTTGATAAAGGAAAAGTTGTTAGTCGTGCTTATACAGAAGGTGATGCAACCAAAGGTCATGCACAAAATTAAATAAAAACAATTTTATGTTCGCTTCTTTGATTGTAATAGTAGACTATATCTACGTAGTTTAGTTTTCATGGAACAAGGTGATTACATTTTCAATTATGGTAGTTTGTCTTATCTAATAGAACTCGTTATAAACGACAAATCATTGAGTTTTTAAAAATTTTTCAATACTAATTTATGACATATTCTGCATGCATAAAATTGAATATTCTATTCATAAAATAATATCTTCTAATGATTATCATATGTAAACAGCGTATTTAACTGACGATGTAAAAGTTTTTGGAATAGTTTCATTTCATTTTTCATCGACTAAACCTTTCTTTGGAAATAAAACAGAACACTTATTCAGAATTTATGTTGAAACTTCTTTCTAAGAATGTATGTGTTCAGAAACAATCGATCATCACTTGTTTTTTTCTTTTTGAGTATTCAGCAAATTTTCAAAGAGTAATAAAATTAGTTCTACAAAAGCAGCTGGTAATAGTTGCGTCAAATTCTGTTGATTGGTTTCAAATAACACAGGAAGAACCTTAACCACGAAACTCCAACAATTTTTTCCGAGTGATGATTTTTTTTTTTGGGGTTTGTTCGATGTTTGTATTCGTACTTTCTGCAAATCAGTAACTCATGACCTTTGACACGTTAATATCGGCAGCATTCCACGCTTCATGTAATCTCAATTTCATATGTTTCCATGAAACGGCGCTGTTACATTGCCACAACATTTGTATAGAGACTCATCACTGTTGTCACATTTAAATTCTACTAACATTTATATATATTATTGTTAGATTTGCAAAGAATCAAGCGGAAAATTTAATTAAAAAGAAAAAGAACAACAAAATACAATAGAACTTATAGAAGATAAACCAGCAATATTCAGAGATCAGTTTCTTCTATCACAGCTATTTCAAGTCGTTTTTACAGTACACATTTTAGTATTGTTCGAAGATTTTCTAAATATTCAATAACAAAATATAATAGAATATTTTTTGCACGCACAATTAGTAATTGCTCTTGATTTTATCAAAATATACTGTTGTCATTGAAAAATAACGCGATATTTTTCGAGAAACTTTTGCATCATCCTTTAAATAACGCAGAAATTTCATATTAATACTAAGACACTATTGCCTATTATTATTAGTATGGCAGCAGCATTATTGTAAAGTTATGTCAGAAATTAAAAGCTTGTAGCGTAATTCATGTAGGATTAAAATGTCAAACACGACGTAGGCGATGTTGTTAATCACTAGGAGATTATTCTGCTATATTTATTTTGGTACACATCTCTTCACTATTCTTCTCGAAAAGTGTAATGAGGAGTTACTTTATTTATTATAACGTCTGTCACATCTGTGATGAGCCGTTTCTAATATGTCTATTATGGTCTGTCGATTCTTTTTGCCATGATCTGTGGAAAAGGAAATGCCGCCATGGTTGAATGACGACATCGCTTGACAGATTTCCACAAGGAACTGTACTCAAACTTTGGCATTATTAGCTATGAAATGATCCCGGACAAGTCACTAACGGCTATTTATCTCGAATAACCCATCCGATAGCATGCTGACTATGTTGTGACATACACTTGCTCTTGTAGTTAGATAGCGTGCATGGCAAGCACAGCAACTCTGTGTTAGATTGAGTTGTAGACAAGATGTCAAACTACTGAATCTGTCACTAGACAGCACTTCATACCATAAAATAGCCGAAAGGCAGAAGCAGTCTTTCCTATTGTGAAAAGGAGGCGAGGGGTGTTAATTTCTACCCTGTATAGTTTCGCACTCCTTCTAGATCACGTTTCAAATAAAAACGGATCAAAGCCACAAGATCCGGCTTACAGTTGAAAAGCGTTTAATTGTTACACTAAGATGAGTTCAGTTTAAGTTTTTACTTGAGTAGTTTTATGAAGTCTTAATTAATGTTGTTTCAATAAACGTTTTTAATAAGTGAATATTCAAATAATAAATTTCATTTAGTAAAATGATTAATCATTGTGAGATGAAATTGCATTGTTTATTATTATTAATTTTTTATTCATATCATCATTTAGTCACTGTTAAAAAGTGTACACTTATTTGAAAAAAAAATACAATAAAACTAACATGTTTCGATGATATAAGCTGGTGGTAATGATTCATTACAATCAGTTTTTATGATAGTAGGAAGTTCTGTTAAATTAATATTTGTCTTATGTTCATCTTTTATTATTAAATGTTTATCAATAATTGGTGATAATTTTTCAAAAGTTATACGTTGATTTTCTTTTGATTGAATTCTATGATTTGGTGAATTTATTGTTGTTGATAATATTGATGAATTATTAGTTCGTGTTGTTATTCTTGATGAAGATGTATTATATAAACAATGTACGGCCGTTGTTGTTCGAGGTCTATTTGTTGTTCGACAAGAAATACTACGTTGTTGTTTAAAATTTCTATCATTTGATAATAATGATGTTGATATTGATGATTGAGGATAAGAACGAGTTTTTGATAATAAACGATTTGGATTTTTATTTATTGTTGAACGGCATATTGGAGAATGATCAAGCAATACTCGAGAATTTGATGAATATGTTTGTTTATGTGATAAATCAATAGTAAAACCACAACATGTAAAATATGATGCTGCCGTTGATGTTCGAAATTTTTGTGTTGAATAATTTTCACTACTTGTTTTAGGTGTTATATGAGCATGATGATTTGGTGATTGATTTGCTAATGCACAATAAGATGTTGTACCATGTGCTTTAACTGAACGATCCATGTCATCATCATCATCATCAACTAAAAATGAATGTTTAGTTAATTTTAATTCATGATGATCAGCTTGAGTTCGTTTAAATCTCCAAAAAAGATTTTCCCAAAGTAATTTACGAATTTCAAGACGTGATGTTCGACCACTAAAAATAAACAAATTAAATAAAAAACTAAAAATTTTTTAAATGAATATTTATACCTCATTATAGCAAAAATAATATTTAATGAATAATTACACATTTCAAGAACTCGAAAAACAGTATTTAAATTAACATAAATATATAATGGCATAATTGGTGTTTTTCTAATATTAGTTGCAAATGCATTAACCATTGTTAATATATATCTTGGTGAAATGGTAATAATAACAAAAAATGATGAAAGTACAAGTTGAATTATTTTTTCTTTAAATTGTTTTTCACGTTTAAGAACATTTTTAGCGTCAATTGAACCAATTTTAATTAAAACAGTTCGTTGTCGTGATAAACTACATAATATTAACCAATTAAGTGTTAATAATAATATTGATGGTATAATTGAATGAAAAAAAACTGTATTAAATGTAAAATAATGTTTTTTCCATTGATCATGTGCGTGTACTGATGATTGATTATCACTTTGCCAAACACACATAAATGTATGAATTGAAAGATTTTCATATGCATGTAGAAAAAAACTTGGCAAAAGATAAATAACATCAGCAAAAAATACAATTAAAAGAATTAATACAAGAAAAAATTTTGATATACACATTGTAAAAAATAAACGACCTTTTATTGGAAACCATATTATTATACATTTTTCTACAGCTAATGCAACTGTTAACCATATACTAGCCTATATTAAATTAAAAACAAAAAAACAACAATATTTTTATTTTTATTTTTATTCAGTTTTTTTCTTTCGATTATTATATCTTTATTTTGAAAAAATCGTTTTTTTTTTTCTAATAGAATAGTAAATATTATTATCATTTTGTAATATTTATTAATGTACAACTAACTGTTTTCTATAAAAAGATAAGAATTATTTTACTAATTTTAGTCAAGATAATCATTGGACTTTTTAATATAAACATATTGTGCTGTCATTTTTATAGTAAAACTCAAAATATTTTTGAAAATTGTTTTTTTCTATTACTGACTCGCACTCAATTGATTTTCAATATTTGTTTGATTGCATTCTGACAGATTGATATAAAATATTGCAAAACAACATATGTTCGATTAAGGTCTGGTATTATATTTCTATGTTTCTACCATTAAACCTTTTCTTTTTCTATAATTAGAATAATATTCCTATATTCATTTTTAATGAGTAAACTACTCAAATTGATCTTGTTTCATTATTGTTCGATGTATGTTGAATATATATTCAATAATTAACAAGACATGTAACATGTCATCATATATTCTTATATCTATAAATAAATAGATTATTATCTAGTATTACTATTTCATTGGTTCGATTATCATTTTATTATTTAAATAATTATTCTATTCATTATCGATCATGATAAATTTTCACTAAGTTTATACAACTCATATAGATACAAATATATATTTATAGGAATATGAATGAATTCAATATATTTTTTTTTCTTACTCATCATAAAATTAATTTCGAGTTTATTAACGATCAAATCATGTTGAATAAATCAATATTCTACACTAATAAATATGTTCGAGAGTGTCAATTAAATTCTTTTTTTATATAACAAAATTTGTTTATAAATATTCGTTTTTCATAGGATAAACACAACTGAATATTAAATTTGATTAAAATTGCTTATTCAACTAAATTAAAATCTAATCAATTATATTTCGTTCTATCGAAAAATGAGTTTTTATAGTAAAAAAAAAATGAAAGAAAATGATGTTCTGAATAAATAATTATTTTCATTGTCGAACTTAACAAATCTTTGAAGTAAAACTAAAAAAAACTTAAATAAATCTGATAGTGTGTATATATATATATATATATATATACGTGTATATGAGATAAATGTTTTTAGTTTCATTTTATTTCTATGTACTCTCGTTTAATCAATAAAATTTTAATTTTAAAATAAATTAAAAACTTCGTATTATTATTATTTTTATTTTTTCGTAATAAAAATAAAAAAAATTACCTGTCCAGTAAACATTATTGTAAAAAATATTGAACGACATAAATTTAATGTTACTTTAAGATAACCTTTATCAAATAAAAGAAAAATAAGAAATTCAAATAAACGTATTGTATCAAGTATTGATATTATTGAAAAATAAAGTCGAAATGTTGTATGTCGAAAACTACGTGATACATGAAAATAAAGTAAACTTAAACAATTGAATGTAACACCAAAAAGAAATAGAAGACTGCCAATACCAATTTGTATATAACTATTAAATGCATCAATAAGAATTTGTTCACGATATGGAATACTTCTCGTTGTGCTACTAATTGGTGTAATTGATGTCAAATTCAATGACGTATTATCATTTACGTATATTTCATTCATTTCAATTTTAAATCATCAGATAATCTAAAAATTTAATATTAAAATAATTATTTATAAAACTATATAAATATGTAATAGAAAGATCTTTATTATTTTGATACTTCAAATCATATTAATAAATAATTGAAAAACTAACTATTAAAAAAAACGAAAGAAATCTTTTCGTTAATATTCGTTAAGTATATTGTCGATACTTAAAAATAAGTAAAAATAAAACTCCCTATATTATTATATTTTGTGTTTCTCATGGGAATAAAACTAGTATTTCATTTTATTATAACTAAGAAAAGAAACACATGAGTCGCGTTATGCGCAATGGAAAGAAGAAAAAAAAGAAGAATATATTTCTAAATTTAGAATAAATATCAAAATCATATAATACATAGATCTATCGATACGAGTGTAAATTCATAAGAGCCTTCTGCACACCTAAAAACAGATTCACTTTTTTTTTATTTTTCACGCATTATTATGTAAGTACTTGTCAAACTTACTAGTAGACCGTTGAACCATTTGCCTTTGAGAAGTGCTGATATATAAGTTAGAAAACAGGCTGTGTCATTTGTTAAAGAATATTATTTCCTGCCTTAACTAATCAATTTTGAGACTCCTTAAGGAGAATTTGTCTTATTCATATTAGTCTACATTATTTGAACATCAAATAAACGCATCACGACGTGCGAAAGAGAAAAGATTGCGTTCTTTATAATTCAAAATATAGATTATTTTCACGGAGACAATTCCCAAAATTTGATATATCAATCTAAATTATTGATTCTGATGAGGAACAGCATACAAACTAAGGACTTTTTATCGATATATAGAGAACAAAAAGAAATATTATTCTTTTTCTTTTTTTTTGTTTTGTTCTTACTGAGTCAATCAAGATATATAAAAACAAAGGAAAATAACTCATTGATCGAAGTACTTTTTCTTGAGTGGTTGTCCTTTTTGTTTTAGAAGAATTATAAAAAAGAAAGAAACAAGAAAATCTTCATTATGATGAGGAAAAAAAAATGTTACCTTATCTTTTGTTAAAAGCATGTTTTTTATATATTTTCTATTCCTATTCTTCTTTTCTAAATAATTGTTGACCGAATAAAAGAATAAAAATCTATGAAAATCTCGAAACCAGATGTGAACCGATTCAATAAAAGAGTGTTGTTTTTCACCTGATAAAACATTTCTTTTATATCTTATTCTCATTAAAATTTTTAGTCATTATAATAGATGAATACATGATTTTCATAAAATATTTTATCAATGGATTTATTCTCTAGCGTAAATATATGAAGATCTTACTGCTTTCTTTTTTTTTTTTACTCTGGGTCAATTCTTTTCTTATTTTCAAATAAATATAAAAAGAATCTTCTGGTATATTATTATAATGAAAAACAAAAAGAAAAACTTATTTTTATCTCATTGTTTTGTTTGTTGAATTTTGTAAAATAAAAAAAATTCTTCATGGATAATTAATGAAAATAGAAATATAGATTGTATCTATTAAATTCGATTTTAATATTATTCTTTTTAACAGTATGAACTTGTTGTGTAATTATAAATATTTTATTCCATTATATTAATTAAAAACTAAAGACGAAATGAACATATTTCAATTTTACCATCTACTTCTTTTATTATACTAATGTACAACCATTTTCTATGTCCTTGCTTAACATACAAACTGTTAGTGAATAAATGATCTTTCTCATTTCTTTTTCATGGTAAAAGGAGAAAAGGTACTTCTGAGTATCGAATCAATATGCACTTGTTTTACTTTTTTTTCTTTTTTTTTTTTTTTTTTTTTTTACTTCTAAAGATCAAATACTATATAATTATGTTCAATAGAAATCCTTGAAAGACGAAACAACATTTTAAAAAAAAAATCTATAGTAAGTTCGTTTTTTTTTTCTTCTTATCTCCATTATAATTGTAACTAAATAAAACATAAGACATTGTTTGATTTTCATGTAATATGATATGTTAGATTCTAACAAGAACAAAAAAAAATCAGTATACTTTATAATTTCCCATGAGTATAGTTTGTTTTGAGCGATTTTACTATCATTCAATAAATATCTGTTGTTTATTAATATTATCAAAAAAGAAAAAAACATATTAAAAGAAAATCAAAGTAATTATTCTAAGGATATTTATTGATTTTGAAATCGAATTGAATAATGACTAATAAAAATATATTCAATAAAATAGAATATTTTTTTCTCATGTAACAAATCTTCTTAATTGAAATTATTAATAAACACTTACTTTTATATTTAAAACAAATTGAAAGAAAATTGTTAAATAATATTCTACTTATAAATAAAATATATTGAAAAAGAAAACAAAAGAATATTAATCAAGATAAATTTACATACATCTTTATTAACTAGAAATCTAACATTATTTTTTGATTAGTTGTTTATTGAATTTTCTTATTTTGTTTTCTTTTCTAAGAGAAAATCTTACAGAAATTATTCAGACGAATAAAAAAAGAAAATATCTCTTCTATCGAACATAATCTTCCTTCTCGTTTTTTCTTTTTTATTACATTATAATCGTCATCAACTTCTTTCTTCTTTTTCTCTCTACATTATTTTTCTATATACGATAAGTTATTATTTAATAGTCTCAGAGAATCTTGACTAAACACACTCATTTTATTAACATATGAATATAAAGAACAAGAAAAAAAAATCTAATCATTTCACATAGAACATTTATTATTTTAGTCAGATTATTTTTCAACTTCGAATTCATCAACAAGTTTAACAGAAACAATATCGATATATAATATGAATAGAAATTTTTTCTAGATTAAATTACATATTGAGATCAACCATTACTTTATATTATTTCCTTATTAGTTATCTTCTGTTTTTCTAATCATTGTATATATTTATATGTGAACATTAATCCTTGTAGTTTTTTCTACTTACAATATGATGAAACTTATGAAATGTTTGAGTAACATCAAAGAAAAAAAACTACTATAAGAACAACATTGCCAACATCTGATGAAATGAATACACACGAGTATGTTTCTATTATCTAATTGATATTATATACACAAATAAAGAAATATACATACAAAGATATATACTATACGAGTGATTTAATGATCTGTCACAATCGATTGTTGAATTAACAAACGACAAAGATAAGTTATGACGGTGTGCAATAGCGTTATGAGCGCAATTAGCAATTAGAGAATATGTCAAACTGAAAAGACTATTCTTCTTTTATGAAAATGGTGAAAAGAGAAATGCACAAAACAACTGTAAATAAGTATATATACATATGCTTTATACGCATGATATCGCTTAAGAGAAATGTGACAATACTAATTTTATCCAATTGAGTGATGCGTAATTTTTGTTTCATTCTATCGAATTATGTAACTACTGTCTTATCATATTAAATTTTTATTAAAAACACAATGTGATGATTGTCGAAAGTTATATTTGACAAATTAATTGATAATTACTCATTAAATATTAAGAATAAGAATAAAAAAAAAAAAAAATCTCAAAGCTAAAAAAATAATAAAGTAGTATATAATAGAAACGAAATATGTCGAACAAATTGTTAAACATACCTGATAGACAATGAATAGATCTACTCTATTACACTAGTTCTATCCCAACTGACAAGACAATGAAGGATTCGTCTGGACGATGACAATGAATAGATTGTCTTTGACTTGTCACTATCATTATTCTTCGTTACTTCTATTGTGTTTCATTGACAGTTTCTATAGTAAAGAAGATATAGCGATATATATTAAAATGGAATAAATGCCACTGATAACCTTGTACCAAGGCTGACCTGTACAATGACAATCTTCTTCTTCTTCTTCTTCTTCTTCTTCTTCTTTTTCTTTTTCTTTTTCTTTTTTCTCTAATAAGATGGTTATTGTCTAACATTAACTTGCCTTCTTTCGGAAAGCAACAACAGTGACGTTAATGTTACTGTTCAATGTTGTAAATGAAGAAAATGACAGATAAACTTACACCACATAAGAACGTCTTTCTTTTCTTATTGCGTATGTGGAATTATATAGTATAAGACACTAATAACCCTAACCATAAAAGATAGTGAAAGGCAAACTAACTCATTGTCATTCGCTATATATATATATATAAATAATATACAAACGTTGGACAATTTCTATCAGATTTGCAAATGTTTATTATGAAAACTACAGATGATTATTATCAAGTATCAATATGTATAGAAGGTTAAATAAGAAAATTCTTTTCTTTTCTTTTCTTTTCTTTTCTTTATCTTTTAATATAATAAAAGTACTTGTTGGAATAAATGATTTTGTAGATAGTTTAAAAGAAGAAATAATGATTTCGAGAGGTTCGTCATGCTCATTGTATTAAGAGAAAATAAACAATTCAACTAAGTTGTTATTTAAGAGATAATCTGACCTAATTTCTAAACGTATGTTATATTATTTTTTGTCTTATTTATGTTAAATGTGTCAGACAATAATAAATTTTAATTGTAAAACTAGTTATAATAGGTGATTCAACCTATACGAAAGATAAAAGAAAAGGATAAACTCAATTAATAAAATAAAATAAAACACTTTCATGTCATGATTATGTCTGTCCATTTGAATAGACAATCTTATAATAGACTATCGGGATGTATTATTATAATCAATCGTTTTGTTATCTTCATTGAGCCATGCCTATCCAGTTTAATAGTAAATACAACCTTCGTACGTTCTCAAGTGCAACGTCCTCATAAATTGTCTTGATGATCCTATATTCTAGCGATATGAATTGATTGATGTCTACTGATTATTATGGAAACAAAAAAAGCATAAAGACAATGTATATGTCTGAAGGTTAAGAGTTTATTTACATAATGTTTTTTTTTACGACTCAATAAATACTAACATAATAATAACAAGAAGAAATAAGAATACAAAACAAAAATATATATATATATATATATATATTCATTGTATTATGATATTATAAATA